AAAAGGAGCAGAACTGCAGGACAATGACACAGAAATAACACTCGACTCTCTCCCTGCAGCTGCAGTACATATCTGTCATCCCATTCATTCATGTGTTTGATGAAGCACTCACTGATTCTTTTTCTTATGCCTCAAGCAGACAGGTGGCAAAGAAAGCTATTTAGTCCTGTGGGAATACTAAGAATAGGTAAACGTATGCTTGATATTTTGCTAGTGGTAGCACCTCAATGAATGATATTAATACTGACTTAGAGGACATGCATCACATGGCTCCACACATTAAATATCTCCATGACTTAACCTAATCAATATTTCCTTTATGACTATAGATTAATGTGTCAATGTTTAGAGAAACAAATCAGTTATTTAGGCTTACAGAATTAATTTGCTAATACAGTCATCCATAGCCAGCACAGGTGTTACTGTGTACCCACACCATTTTGTCCAACAAAAGCTACAGAACAGGTGCATGGATTGCTCTAATCCGCACTGTTCTCACTCCACCTGCTGTGATAATTAATGAGGTGAAAAAGGTGAAAAAGTGAAAAAGCTTCTTCTCTTTGTAAGTTGTCGAGTAGCTGTGGGAGTTAGCAGCAGACGCACTCGGGTCATTGTGGAGCTGAGGTTGGCTTTCCTGCTTCCCATTGTGCCATTGGATTTTCAAGCCTGGCTCTGCTGAGCGCATGAGGCAAATGCAGAAGAAGAGTGATGGGTATTGAATGCTCTCACATGGTGCAATTAAAGAAAGGGAATGTGTTCAGCCATACTTGCACAGACATCTTCCCCTGTGTGAAAAAAGAGCAGGGGCTGCACAGGGGTGCATGTACAGTATGAGTGTCCTGCTGGATGACGTCAAGTTGCATTGCAGAAAAAAAGTTTTCACCGATGACATGTCATGTTGGCAAAACCCCCGTGGTGGCCCTCCCTGCACTTCACCAGTTTAAATGAAAGACAAGGGCCACATTTTTTTGTTATTCACACTGACTGAAGGTCTGTGGAAATTTGTAAATTAGCTTTATATGCCAGTCTGGGTACTAATTGTATTTAGAGGACTGTTAATTCCAAAGGTTCACAAGTCTTTGCTGTAGATTTAAAAATAAATTAGATAACTCGTCTTTGCATCTAACCTTGGCTTCACTTACCTTTTTGAGAAGCGTTTTATTTTTATGCCTCTACACTGGCAACAACTGGAGGAATTATGTTTTTGGTTTTTCTGTCAGCCTGTCCATGCGAGCATCCGTGCGCTGAAGGGGTTTCTGGAATCAAGGATGTGCTGATTTGATTTTGGTGCTCAGAGGTCAAGCTAATGGTGACCTCTTGTCCATCCCAGAATGCAGTATCTCAGGAACACCTTAAAGAAAATCAGCTACAGCTCATTGTAGCAAGCGTGAGAAGGGTTTTCCACGCCCACCTTGTTCATCTAGCTAGTCTACCCTAACAACTTGTTGAGACTCCTGACCCCCAAGCCTTGATGTCACCCGCACAGCACAGTGCACCAACACAAAGAACAGAGCACTGGCTTTGTCAGACAGAGGATGTGCAGGATGTTGCACATGCTGAAGTTTTGGTGTCTCCTCTGGAAAAACAGTCTGCTTTGTCCCATCCTGAAAAGGGCTTCATTGTTGAGTTGAGTTGAGTTCTCCTAGTCCTAGGACTGTCCATGCTGTGGAGCACATTGGGTGATGAAGTCCCTACAAGGAGACATGCTCACTATTTCTGTGGCAGTGAGGTTTACAGGGACAGGTTGCCAGCCCAGTCCCCTTGCATGCCGTTGATATCACCGGGAGCAACCAGGGGTTCAGTATCTCGCTCAAGGATACTTTGACATGAAGACTGGAGAAGCCAGGAATCAAATCACCAATCTCTAGTTTGGAGGGCGCCCGCTCTACCTCCTGCATCACAGCCATGTTTTTGTAGGAGTCCACTATCTTCACTTCCTTTCCCTGGATGACAACCAGGACTGGGGCCTGCTGTTCTTCTGGTCATCCACCACAATCTTACTGGTTTTTCTCTTGTTGGGCTCCAGGAGATTGTTGTTGCACAATGTGATATCTTCATCAGTACAAAATGAAAATAGCATGTTTCTCACTGGAAAGTATTCACTGTAATCATACTTATTAATAGAGTGATAACTTCCATTTTGCCAAAAGTTCCGCTTAATATATTTTACTAAAGTCCTTCATAGTTTTTATTACATATATTATACAAGTCTGGACAGACATGCATGTAAACTGAAAACCTGGCTGGTGGGCAGAGACGTACACCTGCAAGGTGGAAATTCTAGTTAATTTTTATAACAATATCAGTAGTATGTGTGTGCGCAGTGCAGTAATTAAAACTAAGGTTGTTCTTGTCTGCATAGTCATTAGTCATTTTTAACAACAGATTGCACCAGTGTGAAAGTTCAGAATTTCTCCAAGGGCCATTTATTCCCAGACCTGATAGAATGAATAGAAAAAAGGAACCATCCACCTCAATTACTCAAATCTGTTCCCCCTCTAATTAATTAAATGTAATGAAAATCCTTTGAAATAAATAACTGTGCATGAGCCTCTACAGAGACATAAAAGGTTAAAAGAAACTGATTTTATCCTACATCTGTACTGGATGTGTACTGCAGGTAGATGGGGCTGCAGAGCAGTTCAAGGCTCATAAATGAGAAGTTGGTTAGGAGGAGGAGCAGCTAAAGTTTTGTTTAATTCACGGTGCTGCTGAATGGCATCATACCAGCCTGCTCTGATGGGAGGCATTAGAATGCTTTTAGAGTCGGTTATACTGTGATACAACTCCACAGCACAGGTTGTTAATAATAATGACCTTGGCCTCAGCAACAGGGGCCACGCCGACAGGCCATCCGTCAGTGATTTAACAGAAAACTACTAAAATAAAAGTGAAATTAATTAAACTAATAAAAGTGTACTTAAAAGAAAATCTCTCCATCATAAATAAACTGAAGAATATTTGATCACCTGTTTCTCATGAGAAGAACTAGACTAAAACAAAAAAAGTATTAAACCTTTTTTGAAAACACTACAGTTAATTAGAAGCATCTTATTTTCAGTACCACTCTGTATATTGCTGATTCTTAGAAGAAACTGGTTTACTGGCTAAATTAATCTACAGTCCACTGAAAATTAAACAAGATGCAAAATAAAATGCATTTATGAAAAGATAATTTAACAATAAGAGCTGTGGATGCAGTGCTGTGTTCCTTTCAGTGGGATATCTTTCATGTTACTATCCAAAGGAGTAAGCAAATTTCAGGATTAAGGTTTGGCAACGATCTAAATCTTCCTCTAGGCGTTCACTAAAGGAATATAACTTTATCCAACACTGATTTTAATCAGTGTCAGCAAGTTCAGCTTCTGAACCATTCACTGTGTGTTAACAAACAGCCTTGTCCACTAACCTCTTGACAGACTTAGAATGCCTGTAACCATGGTAACTGTGCACAACCAATATGGCAACAGCTGTTACCCCAGAATGTTCAGAAGTTATCCGCTTGTTAAGTGGTGACGTAACTATCTGTTTCTGGGTCCAAACTCTGGTTCGTTCTCCTCCGCTCCATATGCCACAGTGTTGTTTTTCCCTATTGTTTAAGTAGATCTGAATCAAAACTCATGGATCATTTTCCTACTTTCCTTGTGATGGGAAGGAGAAAAACAAATGGCTACAGTTGATTAGATAAGTCACAGTATTGTTACATTAATAAAAATAAAGTTTCTAAAAGTGTTTTGCTGCCCTGTAACGTAACGTTGACTAGCCAGTGAGCACGACGTTAATGTTGTATACTGGTACGTTTTACGCTGATGAAAGTAACAGTAAACGCTGGGAGCTATTATAAAGTTAGACATATAAGTTGATATGTATTGGAATAAATTTACTACGACATGTAGTAAGTTTGGTTATTATGCCAATAGGCGGAACGGCAACACTGAATCTTAGGAAAACTAGACTAAAATGTCTTAAAACTAGACAAACTAGTGGAAATCAAATGGGTAAAATTTGACTAAAACTAATATACAATTTAGTAAAACACCTAAAATTAAATCAAAATCAGGTAAAAGACTAATCATGCAGTGTTTGCCGTAATGACTTTCTGCTAAATAAATTCAAATGCCCAGCTCCAAGTGATCGGGGGCAGATCTAGAAAATGTTGGACACGGTGGCTAGGCTGGGGTGCAGACTCAGAGAGGAGTGACAGATTGAAATACATGTTAAAAGTAAATTAAACCACTAGTTTTATGAAAAGATAAACCATACACTACCCAACCAGCTATAGGGTTGTGGGGAGCTGGAGCCAATCCCAGCAGACAGTTGGCAAGAAGCAGGGTCCACCCTGGACAGGTCGCCAGTCTATCACAGGGCTGACTCTTAGAGACAGACAACCACAAACACCCACACTCACTCCTATCGGCAATTTACAGTCACCAGTCAACCTAAGCTGCATGTCTTTGGGACTGTGGGAGGAAGCCAGAGAACCCACACAGGGAGAACATGCAAACTCCGGGTACATCTTTAAGACTCAAATTATTTATTCTGTGTAAAAATTAGACACACCTAGTGTTTTTTTTTAGGTACCTCTGGCTACTGAGCCAAAGTTGTTCACTTAAGTGAATCATGCCAAGTACTCCACAACAACACAACCAGAGAAATGAATGCAAATATCATGCAGCATGCAGTATATAACTCCCTGGATCCACCCATGCAACTGGCTGACAAACAAAGTTAGCAGCTGGCTAGTGAACATAATGGAGTATTAAGTAGGTGAAGAGTCAGATATTGTGCTCAAGATTTGGTGGAGAGCAAAAAAAAGGGCCAAACACAGAGTCAGCTGGACTCATGGTGTTGGATTAACCATGATTTATTTGCTTTATTCTGCTAGAATTCAGTATCAAAACATAAAAGTGTAGTAAAATATGGCTTTCCATCTCTTGTTCCTTCTTTTTGCTGTCCTCTCCATCAATTTAGCTATTTCAATGCTCCCTCTTCTTTCTAAGGTGTACTTCAAGCGTGATGGCGAGCTGATAGAGGTGATCTCCTACACTCAACCCTCCGCTAACGAGCAGGGTGGTGGCTCAGCTGGGGTCAGAGGAGCCAGGCCACTCATCAGCAGGGACCTCGATGACACTAAGCTCCAGCGGTCCCTCTCCCTTCTGGACCCTGAGGGGCGGTCTGCCCGTCTGTACACTGAGAGCCCCCAGCGCGTCCACACACAGGGCCAGCAGGGCTATGAGCCCAGCCCTGCTACAGAGGTCATCCCAGAGACTGTAGTGAGCCGTGAGTTTCCCCGCTGGGTGCACAGCACAGACCCTCTCTACTACTTCAGTCATACTCACATCCCTCAGAGTGATGGCTCTGTGGTGGTGCAGGCCCGACTCACCTGGACCCTCAACCCTCAGCTGGATAATGACGCCCTGTTCAGTTGTGAAGTCAAGCACCCAGCACTGTCCATGCCCATGCAGACAGAGGTTACTCTGGGTGAGTAGGACACGTGCTAACTCATTGCTTTTGCATACTGTTCTCATTCCTCCACCACCCTTCTTCTCCTCTGTCCTCTGTCCCTCTTTCCACCCCACCCAAAACACTTCACACACATTTCTTCTCCCTTTCAGTCTCCTGCTGTCTCCTCCTGTCCCTTTGCCACACTTGGAAACCGACTGGGCCTCCTGATATCCCTCTTGCAAATATACACAGAATAACGCTGATTTTCATTTGATAGATCTTAATTGTGTTAAAGTTCAGTAGATTGTAGGTTTAGCAGCAAACGCAAAACTCCAAGTGACTGACAGGGCAATTCATTGAGCTGTCTTTGGCTAGATTGAGTTAACTTGGTGCCGCTATTGAAAAAGTCAAGTCAAATTAGAGGAGTACATTGAGAATTTAGACACACGAACCAGTGTTATATTATCGGGAAGAGGATCTTAGAGAAGCTCCTCTTCTTTGAACATTAGTGGACACCCCCCCTTTTTTTGTCACGTGCTTTAGTCTTTTAAAGAGAAGGACAGCCTTTAAATTCCATCTCTTTATTTCAGGACAAGAAGCTCTCAGGCAGTGGGGTTATTTGTTTGTTTGCTTGCAAACTATTAAAGCAGAAGAAGTAGTAATGCAGATACTGAATTCAGAAAACAGGAGTCATACTTTAAGGGAAAAGTTAGCATTAAATTTTAATAGCGTCTGATTCAAGAGAGATGCACGTTCTGACATTATTTTCTCTCGCTCTCCCCAAATACATAGATGGCTTCAAGCTCATCCAATTAACACTTCAAAGGCAATACGCTGGCTTTGTCCTCCTGGAGACAAGCCATGCAGTCCTGACATGATAAACAGAGACATTATCTTCCACGAGATGCTAGCAATAATTGAAGGCAGAAAGAGTCTGAGTGAGGAGACTGTGGCTGCTGCGTTGTGTCTTGCTGTCAGTATTTTATCTCACATCACCACCTGTCATCTAATTAAACATATCCCTTTAACTATGCTAGTGAGCAGCTGTGGTCACTCTGAGTTGATGTATAGAAACGGTTGTTATCATCTAGAAGTGGAAAAACTTTAATAGGTTTACATAATGACAAAGAGGGATTAAATTTCTCAGGCAGACTAGGCACACCACAGCATTTTCTTCCCTTAACTGTGCTCCATTGTTATCAAGGAAGATCTGTGAAGACTCGACATACACAATTCAAAACATAATCCCTACATTTTACTGATGTAAATCAGCACTACACAGTACAGCTCACTCATTTGTTTAGCCCCAAGCAGCTTAAAGTTCTGGAACAAAATGTGGTGGACACTGTGCTGCACTGAGGACTCCTTGGCTCAGGACTTTGTCACTGGAAGAGACAGTGGCAGTTTTGTTTTGACAGTGCACTCACAGATTGTTGCTTGAGGGCAAAGTTTTAGATTTTGGGTTAATTTCAGTTCTTCACTTTTTGTGTGCCAAAAAGATTTAGTGTCAGAATCCATTTAAATGTCTAGCTAAACAGTGTGAGTCTACAAGGTTTCAGTTAGCGTATGTTTTGAATCAGTTAGTTCTGAATTCATACTGACATGAGGAGTGTCCCTTTTTTTTTTTAAAGAAAATATGTTTGTGCACGATGGCTCAAAAGACAAGGTTGTATGTTACCTTGTCTCTGCGACTTCTATGAAAAGATCAACACCCTACCCTGTCTATGCAGCCCCGAGCCCAGCGGGTCCTACTGAAGAGGAAATTCTTCAAACTGCAAACATAAGAGTGTAATTTTTCTATGCTAATTTTTAAAAATCTTTTGTTTGATACGTAGTGCATTTACAGTATTGGGGACTGTTTTCAGCAGCATTTTAATACATATTTGGTTCACTCATGTTTATTTATGGCAGCAGAAGAGCATAGGCAAAACTTAAGATAAATTACAGTGCCCATGTTCATAATTTGTTTATAGTAAAGTAATACTGTATCATTTCACCCAGTTTGGTTGTGTGGCTCATGCATGTGCCCCCACCCCCACCCTCGGTAATTTTTCGGGCACATTTTGCCTTTATTAGTCAGTGAGTCACAGAGAGGCGGACAGGAAGTGAGGGAGACAGAGACACGGAGCGGGGGAGAGCTGGGAAAAATGTCAGACTCAAACCACCAGCACTGGTGCACATGGATGTATTTTTAATCCTTTTTAGACAACAATGTAGGTCTATGGTACCACAAAATACTGTTATTTCAGGCTATAACAGCACACACACACTACCTGTTAGCAGAATGAGGTTATTGTTGGTTTGGTTCTTTTTGTGGTATCTTCTGAGGTTATTAGAAATAAAAAAATATTGCCATTTTTATTACTGAGATTGTTTAATCATATTTAAGCATAGGAGATAATCTGGTGTTTAAAAAACCATTTAACCCTTTTTTAAATATGTTCGTTGTAATTGGTATTGTCAGTTTTTGCTAAGTGGGAATATCTCACACCGCAACATCATCTTTTAAAATCTAATAGCTGTCACCGTCATATCTCAAGTGGATAGAAATAGAGTACAGCACATGCAAGAAGGAGACAGCAGCATCATTTGAAGGCATAATAGCATAAGCTGTCTTCTCCAGATAAAGCACTGCAGTAAGGAGCCTCCCAGCTCTTTGCCTCTTTCACTTGTTGATGATAAAACAGATGACACCTCCTGAGGGGAACAGGCCCTGTGAAACTCTTGCTAAATGTCAAAGGCGCTAATATTTTGACAAGCCTTTCTCTCTACGTGTTTGAAGTCATTAATTTATCATTACCTTTGTTCTTTTAAAGAGATGGACGGGGCATTACCAGACTTCATTTTTTCCCACCACCTAAAGAAAAGAGAGCAAAAAATAGAAGCAGAAAATGTACATTTATTGATCCTAATTAGAGCATACTTGAAATTCAAAGCGCTTACAGACCTGCGGGGGGCTCAAGCCATCTTAGAATGGAATAGAATGTAAAAAAGCAATGGTTGTGATGCAGGTTAGAGGTTATGTGGGCTACAGTAGAGGTTAGATTAGCATCATATCACAGAAAAAACAGCACACAAATGTTCAGAGTATAGTTTTACTCTAATTGACTGAGACTGTGTGAAACACACTTAAGGATTCTGAGCACTTACACAGTTTATTCTTTTATATTATGCAGCACTAAGTGCATAATTGCACTCAGGATCTGTCTTCCTCCCTGCACATGCTCTTTCCCGGTTTTCTCAGGTGTGTTTGGTCAGGAAATGAAAAGGAGGTCTTTGCAGTGCCCATAAGTAATAAATCTTTCAGAGATTTAATATTGCCACATGAGACAGAGCGACAGTCAGACAATCAACCAGTGTTGTGTTACACTTTATGAATATTCATGAGTCGCCTTGTGTTCGCCATACAAATGGATCTGAATCTGGCACCGTGTCTTGGGAGGCTAAAAAGCGAGATCATGAGGCCAGTTTATTCTGCTCTCCTGGACTGTATTTTTGAACATAGTGCATATTAATAATTGAAACAAGTTTTAGGTATGGATTGGGCTAAGGTGTTTATTATTCAACATCATTAGACAAGTGGTGGAATTCTCATTTCATACAGCAGCGAGAAGAGATGCAGACTTCCTCACATCTCCTAGTCACTGCGTTGCCAGACTGTGATAATCAAAGAGCAGATGCTCAGTTTCAGGTAGGCAGCTGTGATCTGTGTATGTATATACATGCATGTGTATGGTCTGTATGCCTGTGCAAATATAGATTTGTTAAGTGTACCTAGCATATTGCTTGTGTTCACTCGCAGCTCCGTTCCACCTCCATCAGTTTGTCTTATCTCCCAGTTTGGGGTCACCTAGTCCTTTTTGTTAGTCGAATCTATGAAAGACTTTACACAGTGTTGCATTCACCACAACAGAGCGGTCCAGCAGTCAGTCAGGCCTTTTAAATTCAGTCGCATGCCTCTCCAGCTTCTCTGTGTTAACAGAATCAGTCACCCAACAAATGCGACAAGTTCCCCTCAACGACTTAAGTCTGTTGTGCAGCTGGGCAGACCTGTTGATGTCTTGACTTGGTATTAAAGCACGCCTGATGCCGGGCGCGCAGTTGTTTTTCTGGAGGGCATGTTTATTCTCTGACCCCTCTTGAAGTGATAACATTTTCTTCTTGGAAATTGAAGAACTTGGGTCTTAGGTGACGGTCTCAGGGGACAGGCTCATTTCCCTTGTGAAGCTCGCAGCCTCCGAGAGAGGCTGGGTTATGTCCATCACACCACATGCTGCCCTAATCAAAGGCGGTGACGCAGGACGCCAACTGTCACTGTTGGAGCACATCCCAGAAATCAGCCATCATCTTCCCTAACCATATGCCTTGCAAGCTCTATGCGACACCATGACACCAGTATGTAAAAATACCCTTCCGTTAGTGTGTGGGCGGTGGAAAGATAGTGCTTCCCACTACCATGCCAAAACTAGCCCATAAAACGCCATCCGTCTTCGGCATGAGACGTGAGATGTTCAGCCGTGATGTGTTTGGTTGCCTTGCCAGTATAAATACATGGATGTTTTTTGTTAATCCTAAAAAATGTACTGGCTCCAAGATTTCTTCTTTGTACCATTTCTGCTGCTATGCACTGATTTTCTGGACAAATGAATCGGTTTACACTGAGTAACATCTTGTCTCCTGATGCTGAAATCTTCCTCATGTTTCACCTTATGCTCTTCTCCCACTTACTTGACCTAAACTTAGTTTTATTTTTTATGTTTTTTAAAAAGACATGCTCAATCATATACACATATATGAAAGTCCTAGTCCATGAATGCAGATTTGTAGCTGCCTGAGAATAGACCATGCTTCATTAGCTACAGTGGACAGTTGGTTTCCAGATTAATGGATAAAAACTGAGGTCATTTATTTATTTATACCTTAGTTTAACTCATCAATGAAAACAAGCACCCGGTGTGATTTATTCTGAGAGTTCAAACCAAATTAATTAAAGAAGTCCTGGGGTGGACTTGTACAGGCATTATTGATAGGATGCCCCTTAACTTGAGTCTTGTTGCACGTGCTCCTCAGTCCATTTGTCAAACATATGGAACTGCACAGCATGTGAAGCTGTTGTCTTTAGAGGACTTGTTAATCAACTCAAATCGTGCAGAACCTGCTTATATGGGCCTAATGCAGTATACAGTGCAGTTTGGCCGTAATGAAATGACTTACCTTTTTATACCATTATGCAAATCACTCATTTTATCTCCTCACTACAAACACAGGACAATCACCGGCCCCTCGCAATCTCATAATATTAGAATCTGCCTGCTCTCCTTTCAGCTATTGTTTTAGATGGTCCAAATGAAAGCCATCTGGGGGCTGCTGTCCATACCAAGACAAGGGAATTAGCTTGCTGAGCGTCCCTTATCTCACTGCCTCCACACTCCACCTAGTGCACTCCCATTCTCCTCTAGTAATGAGTATCTACCCAATTTAGTTCCCTTTCTCTCCAAGGGGGAATAAATCCAGCGCAGCTTTTTAGATGAAAAAGCCTGCAGGTCCCTCGCCTCTCGCCCCGTGGCCTTAATTGACAGGAAATTGTATTTGTCTCCTTCTGTGACAAAACAGGTGTCCGCCAGGATTTGCTCTGCATGCCCAGTCTGATGACCTTTGCTCTCTGTCTTTTTTCTCTTCCCAGCTGCTCCTAAGGGTCCTAAACTCCAGATGTCCCCCAGCAGGGCGAAGGTAGGGGACACGGTGCGCATCACAGTTCAAGGTTTCCAGGTAGGATCACCTGGGGTAAGTGCATGGGGTTTAGGAAAAATGAAGGCTCCAGTTCAGTCTAGAATAGAAGACTGATGCACATGTGCAGCTAAGTGTTTAGTTTGCCTCTGTAGTGACCTATAGGGTTCATTTTTTCCTGGTCTGTTTATGGAGGCATACAAAGTGTTCATTTTGTCAAAATGGATTCACACATTTATAATTTGGTTTAGCCAAATGGCAGAACAAAGCATCTTCTCAGGCTGTTTCTGTTTGTATTGAGTAAAGCCTCAGGCACTAAAATTCTACATTAAAATAACTATAGAAAGAACAAAGAGAGAGTTATTCTAGACTGCTAACATTCCTGGCCAGTGCCATTTTTGCTGCTCTCAGACGTTTTGCTCCATTATCCCCAGGAAGCAGCTAAAGGTAAGAGCAAAGAGGCTGTCTTTGTGTCAATGTCATCCTTTCATGCCCCTAGTGCAGACCGCCTGTGGAAGGTCTTGATCGGTTTGATGGGCATGACGCATTGAAGCCAGGCGGCTGGATCCAGTCAGGATATGAGAACAGCGCTGATCCTGATACAGGACATGCTGATGGCCCACAGCAGTGATCACGTTTCTTGCTTCATTGTCTCTAGGACTCAGATTTGTTGGTTGATTTTATTTCATACTTCTGAGACATTCCAAAGTAAAATGAATTGTTTGGTTTAGTGCACCAAGCTATTAGCTCTTTGGTTTCACTTTGAACAGTGTTAGTTATTAGAAACATGCTTGGCGGTGGCATGCTGCCAGTTGGCCCTTCGGCAGTGCGTCCGTGCAGATTGATCAGAAAGCAATTTTCCCTTATCCTTCACTGGACCGAGGCTTCAGGGTGTCAGAAGTAGATAAGATTGTGTGTCAAGACTGATAATTTTACCTCTCGCCTTCCTGATGCTGTAAGATGCCAGGTTTCCCACAAGTTAATTTTTTTTATAAATGGTGGTCATAAAGAAAGTTCTCTCTTTCTTGTCCTTTTCTGCATTGCTTTATGTGCTTGATGGTTTGAGTGACTCTAAAGCCAGTTAGTGTTATGTGTCAGTAAGGGCTCGCCTAAACAGTTTTTAGTGTTTGTTCTTAATGTGACCTTTTCTCAAGAGCCTGCCTCAATCTACTGACTCAGGTAACGTCTGTCCTGATTTAAACACACGGCCTGGAGAACCCTTTTTAAAATTATTTAGAAAGTGTAGACGGCACACAGTTACTGACCAATAAGTTATGGATTTTTGCTATCAAACTATTTCAGTAGGGTACTCGGAGCTATTAGGGTCAAAGCATGTTTGAGCAGTTTATCTCAAGTGTTTGGTTTGTTTGGGTGCATGCCAGACAAGTGCTCCAATATTGATCGCTTCAGGGAAGGATTCCAAAATGCGCAGTTTTGAATCGGTGGAGAGGGTCATTGACATCTGATAGTAAGCGGTCCCTTGTGCTTGAACAACCAGACAAAGAAGGGCAAACTGTGGTCAGGACTAACGTTCATATTCAGTCGTCTCTTCATGCACCGGTAACTATGGAGCGGTTTTTAGCTAAGCTGGATTTGTTGGCTGTGATTTGATTCACCCCACTTCTGTGAATTTGTCAAATAAAGCAGCTTTTTCTAAGTTTGTGCTCTGCAGCAATTAAGCTGTACTTGAGTAGAATGAGCTCAGCACACAGTAAATAAAACTGTGAAGGAACTTTTCCCGTACAGTTAGTTCTAGCACACAGAATACCTCCTTCATTCATGGCGTTTGTCAGCCAATGCAATGAAGTCATGTTGTTGCTCTCTTATAATGTCACTCCAGCCTTTAATTACTTTTTAAGGAACTGATACATTCTTCCATCACTGGAGACCCCTGTCCATTCCAGGGGGGTTTATTCCAACAGTGTATCAAACAGATTGCAGAGAAGGTGTGTGTGTGTGTGTGTGTGTGTGTGTGTGCGTGTGTGTGT